TTATATCATATTTTTGGTATCTTCACGTTTTCTCAGAAGTTAAATCAAAATTGAAGCTACTCTCTTTTTCTGTTTCGCTCTCACCTTCTGTCTCTCATCACACATCACACACAAACAAACACACGCATACACACAAATAAACAAACACACACATATATTTGGAAAAAGCACAAGCATATACTTACACTTTTGTTGTGAAGTTGAATGAAGCCAGTATATATTTCACCATGTGTGGTCATTAAATGCAGCCACTAATTTAGCATCAGATGAATTTGATTGGCCGCCATTAGACATTGCGTCTGCCACATATTTTTTCAAACTAAGTAATTATTAAAGTATATATATATATATATATATATATATATATATATATATATATATATATATATTTATATATATTTATTTATTTATATCTTAAAAAACAGGATCATAACAAATGCTTTCCGGGTTCGGACAAAAACATCCAACTGCGACTCCGGCCTTTCAAAAAATTCCGACTCCCACTTCGACAAAAATTTCCAACTCCGACCAACTCCCACTCCGACTGACTTCCACTCCGACACTGTTTTAAAAAGTTTTAGAACACAAAACATGATTAAAGCTTCTTTATTTGCATAAATTCTTAAAAATTAGTTTAAACTATCATCCCAATGATAATGATCAGTTCAAAAATTTTGAATTCACTGATCTCACAAAATTTCTGATAAAACGAAGTATTTTTATTTATTAAAGGCAGGAGTTTGCAGTAAGTTCGATCTCTCAGTATATCGTCGCCAATATTATTTGGTTGCAAGGATTGTGTTGTAGATCGTGAAGTTATACAACATTCACGAGTGTTTCAACACAATGTATGTCTCAATTACCAACCTATACGTCGAGACATTTGGTATTTTTTAATTAAAAGTGCACGTGAGTTTGTGGGTTTCAATAAAATGTGGGCGGTGTTTGTGTGCGTGAAAATAAATGTTTAGACGCGAATAAGTGATTCTACTTACAAAGATTTGTTGCTTCTTTCAGTTCGATGTGTTATAACAACACGGCCAACTTAATTAATCTATATACTTTGTGTGGAGTTTGTTCACTAACCTTTCTTCATTTCTGCTTTTCCAGAAATAAGAATGAATAGTTTCTTTTTGAAACATATGTGATCGCTTCAAAGGTGCATAATCGCTCCAGATTTCAAACTTCAGAGAGCAAAAACAGAAAATAGGCTAGAAAAAAGGAGAAAAGGTGATAATTCTTAAAAATTTAATTTACTAAATTCCATCTACAGGTTGGTAGGTGCCTACTTATGTATGAAGACCTTTCAAGTACATATTCATGAGTTCTATGTAAACAAGGTTTACGATGTATAAGCGCGCCATAAAGCGAGCGAGAAATGCTTTTGTTCGTGGGCAACTAAAAATAATCTCCGACTATAAATAGATTTGTTGAGGGGTTGTACGACATTCGTACAGTACGGTACAGCGTAGTATGTACAACACGAACTTGGAGTGTGTAACACAATGCGGATCCAATGAAAGAATGATAGGATATGATGTGGAATATTGCTTGGTGTATGTTTCGTGCTCGTCGCCGGTCCTTTGATGGTATCATGTGCGTGGGCGGAGGCAACTGACGATTTATTCTTAACTATAAATAGAAAATGCATTAACGGTCAGAATGCATTATACGTTGTTGCTGCGATGATTGAATTGTTTTTATTTTCTTTATTTAATTCACTTTCTTCGAATATTTTTATCCATCCACCGCATCGTCGATGAAATGGACGATTTAGTTGAGAAATGAATTTAATATGTTGATGGAAGAACACCGCTCACTTCCAAACTTACATGTCAAATACCGAGGCGGAAAAGAAATGTTTAAAAGGAAGTGAAAGCTCGTCAAAACAAAGAAACAAATCATCATAAAATTTAAAGAAAATAATCATTTCCGCAAATCGTTAACATCTTTATCTGCTCATTATTTGTAAGCTGAACAAGGTTCTAAGTTCATCTACAACCGTTATTCATATGAAAAAAAAAATCATATCTTGGTTGAAACTTATTTAATGAATCTTTTGCAGATTATAAGGTTTGAGACAACATTTTTAGGTGTACGTGGAAGTAGAAGGCACGTGACTTCAAAATCTAACAAAAATAATTACATCTCTGGAGCGGATTATTACAATGAACACCGCAATTTTTTAAATAAATTTAACAAAAATGTATCAATTTTTGAAAATTTGAAAAAGTATTTTGTGATGTAGATGACTGTGACCTTTTGTAGATTACACTGGATAGATTTGTACATATTTTATCTGCAAAATTTTTTTAATTCATTAGTTAATTGTGGTTACGAAAGATGGCAGCTGGTTGATGATGTTGATGTATGTGATATGAAGTGTCCTGCAGTTCATGTCCGACCTGGTTGTGACTTGCCACGTGTGCACACTCATTCACGCCTCAATTTGGTTATTTATCAAATAAAAAACAATTTTGTTTCAATCTATTTTATTTTTTACGTAAATAAATAATAATTTTCCAAACGTGAAAAAAGGTTTGTTGTTTGAACAATGAAACAATTATTATTTTTATGTAGAAAATTAATGGGAAAACGAAAAAAATAATAAAAAACAGATGAAAATTTCGCAAACAACTTCAGAAAATATATACTGCTGATAGAAAATTAGAACTTTCTAAAAATAGGAAATATTCATAGAAATCGAATGTTGGTTTGATCTAGGAAGCAGAAATGAGCAGGGGCGATAAAAAAGCGTGGTTATATGATGGTTATGTTGAAAATGGGTTAATATGGCGCATCGTTTGTCCATGATGTCTTTCAACTTATTCTCTAGGAGGATGTGTTAAAACGTTAAAATTGTTTTTGTTCTATTCTGTAGTTTTGTAAAGTTTTTGTTTATGTTATTATTATTTCTATCGTTAACATTGCACATTTTTATAAAATTCAACAAATCGGCATTCTTTTTCACCGATATTTTACTGGATGACTATTATGAATCGTTGAATCATAAAAACAAAACATACAACTGTATAAACAAACATACAAACTCCTACACAAACATACAAACGCATACAAACACCAACGCTGAATGTACGTTGAAGACCAGTGCAGACAGGCAGGAAGACAGGCAGGCCGAGCAGCAGTGCAATGATGTTACTCAGCATTACCTCATCCTGCCATCGAAATTAATTAAAAGTTTTATTATTATTTGTCGAGCCATCACTCGCACCGTCAAATTACTCTTTTTATGACTCCAATTCTGCGCAACTTCTTACGTAACACAATAAAAGTTTTCATTAAATGAGTTTTTCACGAGATAGCTCATTTAATGCATTTTATTGCAATATAAAAAAGGAACCAAATAAGGAGAACAGTAAATATTGAAAAAAAAAACTAGCGCTGTTTTTAAATTATTTCTTTATAAATTGAACAAAAACAAATGACAATATTGTTCTTTTATACGCCATCCCTATGAATCAACAGCTAATAAGTTTTGAAAGTATCAAGCACATAACGCACACGCAGGCAAACTCAGCAGAATCAATGCACATGGACACGGGCACGTATTTCTTTTCATGTAATGCCATCATTCGACATCTAAGAAGCTCTGATAAGTCCTTTAAGCGTTTTCATGCACAATAAGAAGATAAGCCCAATATTTTTTTTTTAATTTCAGGACTTGTGCAATATTATATGATACATGTTCATTGCACAACATTTCCGCGCTAATAGCAAAATTTAAATGTAATTTAATTGTAATGTATCAATGGATTATTATGATTATGGATGGCTTATAAAATAATAGTAAAAAAATAATAATAATAAATTAAAAACAAAAATAATAATTATTATAAATTGAGATTTTTCGACATATGAAAAAGTTCACTAAGCAAATTCTGTAATAATGATTTGCTGAGTGACAACATTAACATTTCTAATTGTTTAAAAGCCAACAATAAACATAAATTTAATGATTAAGTTGCTAGAAGCATGAATAACATTTACGAAACATTGTTGTAAGTGCAATAAAATAAACAGCATGTTAATAAGAAACAGAAATATCAATCTAACATACATCAACCCCACAACCATCAATCCAACATAACATCCAACATCAATCCAACATACATATCATCTTCAAATTCAATAAATATAATTCTTTCCTTCCTATCTGAAGAGTCTTACATGTGTCATTATTTCAAATAAAGAGCCTTAAAATATCTCTGTGCAAATAAATGAAGAAGCATACGACAATGTCCGATGACCCACTTCATTTACAGCCCTCGAAACTTCTGCGTCTTCTAAGATTTATTGTTTTCTCTTCATGAAGAAATTTTTTTCCGAAATATAATCTTTTTACCAATTTTTAAACAAAATAATTTGTTGCTTATTGGAAAATTAAGGAACCCGTCAAAATTCGGATTATGCAAAAGCCTCGGAACTCGGATTCCTACAATAGAGCAGTGATTATGATCAATAACAAAATAAAAGAAAGCATTTCTAAAAGTTTTTCGCCATTAATTAATAACCTCAATCAAAAACTGTCAAAATATTTTAGAAATTTAGAAAACTTAACAGAAAAGCTCGATCAATAATGCGGTTTAGGAAGAGTTTCTTCATTTGATACCCGTTTCAGAACCGACAAAACATTCGTCCTTAATTAAAAATAACAGCGATTAAGCGTGGCAACCGCGATCTTTAAAATGTTAGCAACTTTCTAAGTCGGAGGACTTATAGGGTATTATAATTTAAAATTATCACCCAAGCATATTGTTATTTAAATTTCTTACCTAATCTGATTTAACCCATTAGTGCCTACAGCACCTTAATAGGGTGCGGTCATTATTTTCTTTAGAACTCTTCAGACTTAAAAAAATATTTACAGTTTTAGGTAATATTAGCGTTGTTTATAATTTATAAGTAATTATTTCATTTCTTGTTGGTCTTCGCGGTAGATTGTTAGAAATTTCGTATTTTGTTAAAAAAAAGTTGATACAATGGCGAGTGCCAAAATGGCATCTAAAAAGTTTGTTTTTTTAATGTTTACATTAATAATTAATGTTCATTCTTTTAATGATTTTTATTACAATTATTCCTACTTCTAAAATGTTTGAAAATCCGATATTTTAGTGCTCTCCACAAACTATTATTAGTTTCTCAATAACTGCACCTTATAAAGGTGCAGTATGCAGTAGGCACAAATGTGTATATAAATGCATTTATTGGTTCATTTCTTTTTTTCTATTTTATTTTCCGTTATTTTTATACTTACAGATATACAGTCAATGAAGTTTTATCAATGTTGGAAGATGAAACGTTTTTGGATGCTGATGTAATTTTATTGCCTCCTTCTGGTAATTGTTCAGATGAAGATAGTGGTGACGAAGAAAGCACAAATGCTGACAATCTTAGTGCACAACAATCAAAGAAGCAATGTCAAACTGCATGTCGAGAAACCGATGTCAGTTCTTCATTTATGTGATTACGACAAATTAGATAAAAATGACAAATTGTCAAAAATTCGACCTTTATATTCGATGATAAATAGCAAATGTTTTGAGTATTTCTTGAATGAAGAATATTTATCAATCGATGAGTCCATGGTTCCGTACTATGGGCGACACAGCACAAAACAAAGGATAATGGGTAAACCAATACGAATGGACTACAAAATCTGGGTTCTTGCAACATGTGATGGCTATGTTGTTTAGTTTGATCAATATCAGGGAGCCAAAAGAACTGCCCATAGTGTGAGAAGTTCAGCCACAAACTGAGGTTTGGGAGAAAAAGTGGTGCTAGATTTGATGGAAGAGTTGCCACGAAATGTCCCATATAACTTATATATTGACAATTTTTTTACAAGTTTTCGGCTGTTACAAAAATTGAAAAAAAAAATTAAATGCACAGGAGTAATTAGATACAACAAATCCCATTATTATTCGCAAAATTTTGGAAAAGAAAGAAAGGGGATATTTTGAATGTATGACGGAAAAAAAATAATTTGTACGCCGTTGTTGAATGGAATGATAACAGAAGTGTTTATATGGCCTCCAACCATTTAGGAAGAGATCCAATAGGCCAAGCCTCTAGAATATCAGTTGAACAGCCACATGTTGTAAAGTTATACAATAAATTTATGGGAGGGGTCGATCGATGTGACAAAAACATTGCAGCATATAGGATTGGACTTAGAAGTAAAAAATGGTGGTGGTCGTTGTTTGCCTGGATTCCAGACATGGTGATGCAAAACTGCTGGCAACTTTATAAAAAAAAAACACGACGAGGATGAAAATTTGGATCTTTTGTCCTTCCGAAGAAGAGTAGTGCTTGACTATTTATCAATGTACAATTTACAAAAATGTACACCTGGGTGCCCTAAAGGAGAATTAACTTCGACAAACAAAAGAGTCAGCATCGATGTTAGAACTGACAGGATTGACCATTTTCAAAGCCAATTGGAAACTCAGAAGCGATGCGCTCACTGCCACAAAAACACAAGGAAAGGGTGCAAAAAATGTAATATAGGATTGCATGACATGATCATTGTTTTGAAATATGGCATATGATTGAAACTTAATGATTTTAATTTTAATTATTTAAATGCTTTGACATTGATGTACACATTTATGCCTACTGCACCTCATTAGGGTGCAGTCATTGGACTCATTCTTTTAAACTATTTTTTTTCAATTTGATGAATAATTGTTTTTTACATTTTTATTTTATGTCAATGCTAATAAAAATTCATTTTGATTGAGTTAAAAAATTTGGGCATTAATAGGTTAAAAGCTAACATCTCTTTGTGCGATAGGAAACGAATTAAAAAGCACAACCCTGGTTGCAATGCAAAGTAGCGGTAGTATCGTATGAATGAATGAACATTGGCTAAAAAATGGAAATATTAAACGCAGCTCTTGCAATTAACTTAGGATATTTGGGAGAAACCAGAGATGTTGTAAATAAAAAATTTTCAAAGTAAGAATGTTTTCCATAAAATTCATGTTAATTTATGAGCACTTTTGTAAAGTGTAAACCGTATGATTTAATATTATTTAATAATAATATTATTATTATTTTGCTGGATGTGTGTGATAGGTATGACCAACTGCTGATGTCCATTCCTCAGCCCAAAACCCCATCCATTAACAATTAGAATAATTTTCCTTAAAAAAAATATTGCTAAACAATATTTAAAATACACATTTAAATAATATACTTATAATTATGCATATATTTATTTATAATAAAAATTTGATCGGAAAATGAAATTGTAAAATTGATCGAACCGTCACATAATAGAGAAGATATTAACGATTCCATGGAAGAAGTGTGATCATGGAGGCTATTGTTTCTCAGCATTGCTGCTAATTTCCTCCTTGTGTCCCTCCCTGTGAGATCACAAATGAATGCAATGTTGGTAGTAAAAACAACAATGTTCTCATTGTTAATAAAATTATTCTTCAACACCAACGTAACTGCTTAGTAAACTTAACGTCTTTCAGTGTACTAATAACCTTGTAATGTAACAAGTTTACTGATTCTTGAAAGATAAAACTTATACATTAAAATAAAAAAAAAATTAATAGGGCAATATTTATTGCTATTACTACCATTCATATGTGTCTATGTTTAAAATTGTTGCAATTTTTAACGTCATCATTAGTGTTTACTTTATGACGTATCAGTTTTAGACTTTCACATCTTTAACTTATATTCATTCAGTTTAATAATTTCAAAAAAGGTAACGTTGTTATATTAAAAATGCTCTGAAAGCTTACTTTCTGACTGAATAAGAATAAAGTTAATAATTAATATAAAATAAAGACATACGATGAAGAAAGCTCTTCTTTGAAAATCGTCAACCATCATTTATTGATTAATTAGTCATAACGTTATCGTTAATGCTGCTGTAATTGTTTTCCAAGCAGCAGAAACACCGACAAAAATTTGAGAGTTAGGATAAGCTTGACCAAATGACCAGCGTCAATCATCATCATTTTTACTTGTCATAATGCGTTAATGCTGCTGTAATTGTTCGCCAAGCAGCAGAAACACCAACGACAATTTGGGAGTTACGACATAGTTTACAGTTTTAGAGTTTGAGTAGTAAATGCAAAATTTTACAACACTATTTTCATTAGCTACTATCACGTTTTTTTAATAATTTCTTTCATAATTTTTTCATCCATTTTGTTCGTTTGACAAAATGTTTGGACGGTGTTTTAATCTAGTATAAGGTTGTTTTGTTCTGCTAATGATTATTATTTTTATTGTTGTTGGTCATTTTATTTTTGTTATTGGTGGTGGTAATGTCGTTGTTTTTTGGTTGCCAGCGGCTCATAATATTTTCGGTCTTTTTAGAGTTTGCTTCATCTATTGTTCTTTAAAAGTTGTGCATATAAAATATTAGCATTGTTATTCAAATAATCACAAGTTGATTTTTAATGAAAACAAGCAATTAGTCCTTTTCTAGTTTTTTTGAAAGCTTGTCAAATCGTTTTAATAATAAAACCCTTTATAGAACTAATAATTAATATTTTCTCAACTCTAGTTTAAATATAATGGACTGTCAGCAGCAATGCTGAATGAGGAAAAGAGGTTCATTCATTGAACAAAACAAGAAAACGCTCACTATGAACTTTCCAAAGGAACGAATGAGTGAACATTTACAAAAGCAAGGAGAGACAGTAGCTGGCCGACAATTTGATGGCCTGCGTAAACAGTGGAGGAAGGGAGAAACACGTAACAACAAAGCCAGTCTGCTCTTGATAGATAAGAGTTTATATAAACTCCTCCATGCATTCGGGGTCAGAGGTCATCATATTTTAAAACTCTGCTTACATGGTTCATCATGTGTACAATGTTATCAACTTGTTTGCCGTATAATTCAACTCCCATCATGTACTGTAACGATTATAACATGGTCAGTCACTTTTTTTAGTGAATCCAATATTTTTTTAAGCATCAAAAGTGAGAGCGATGAAAACATCGCTTCCCCCATCAACCACCATCCAAAGAACATTTATTCATACATTTTATTGTTGAAATGACTAATGTGTATTCCATAAAAGATAAAACATTTTGAAACAGATAATGAATCAGGAGATAATTTGACCATTCTTGTTGCCGGCTACAAAAATTATTCTAATTTAAAACTATAAGTTCAAAAAATTGTAGCCCATAAGTAATTGGTATTATATAGGATATATATATATATATGCGTGTGTGTGTGCATTTTGTGGCAGTATATGCATATATATATATATATATATATATATATATAACAGGTAGAAAATAATCAATTTATAATGATATAGATATAGATCATAAAAAATGGATACAAATAAAAAATAAAAGTTAATTCGACTTCTATGAAAATTGACTTTGAAAACATTTGTATTAGAAAATTATTAAAGCGAAGCCACAAAATGACAATTGAGTAAGTTGAAAAATCCCGAACCTGAAAATCGTGTATGACGTGCACTGTTCAATTATTAATTAGGAAGATTATAAATTATTTGTAAAAACGAATTGAAAATATTTTTATAACTCCCGCCTATTTCTTAGTTTAATATTTGAATTTAAAAAAAAAGCAATATGGTGGCTACTGCAAGATTAAAATGAAATTCCATTAAAAAAAAGCATTAAAAGGAGTCTCGTGATGAGCGATCTTTATAAACACGAAAATTGGAAAATATAAAACTCAAAATTATTTTTGATTATATTTAAGAATTGCTTTTGGGAGCTTCCAGATAAGATTAGTTAATAGATTAGTAAATATTAATTATATATATGAAAAAATTGAATAGAACACGTACACCGCATGCACACACGCATAGAGCAGAGCACACACATCACTTTCAAACACATCGACCACACACACTATATCTACTGTATATTTATATATACGAATATACATTGTATATATCATTTCGAATGATTTTAAATGGCTATGAAAAAATTGATAAAAAAGCTTTCACGCAATAACGTATTCTTCACAATTTATATTAGGAGTTTGAAGCCATTTGAAATGCTTCTTTTCTATCAAAGTGAAATCAATAAAAATACCAGCAGTCTCACTTGAAACACCACCATCAATCATGTTGTACCGTTAAGTGAATACAATATACCATATCTTCTCCATTCTTCTTGCTCCTATCCACTTCAGTCTTCATGATCATCACCAATAATATCACTACCATCGCCACGGACATCATCATCATCATCGCTAACACCGTTATCAGCATCATCATTGTCGTTGTCAGTGTCATCTTCCTCATCATATCATCACCATCGTTGGTGCCACCATCAACATCCCCATCCGTCTCCATTTTGTTCTCGTTACATGATCTTTAATTATTCTGCCAGAATTTTTCTACATGATTCATACAGATATAGATACAGGTACAAAAACTTTTATGATTCCTAAGGAGAAAATAGAAAATTCAACAGAATTCTCATGGAGTGAACGTCTGAATTGTTTTCTCTAGAAGAATTTGTAAGCAAAAACCAGAGAATAATCAGAAGATAATTTAAACAGCAACCGGAGCATTAAAGAAAAAGCATTAAAGTCAAATTAAAGAAAAGTCATGTTTAAAAACAACTTTAAGATATGAAATATAACCAAACTAAATTATAAAAATATATAATTGGAAATTAAAGAGAATGAAGATATATCAAAAATATATAATTGGAAATTAAAGAGATTGTAAGATAAAAAAATATAATTAGAAATTAAAGAGAATGTAGTAACATGATAGGTGTCGAAATGTAATTCCTCACATTTTCTCATTTCCTTCATTCTTCTCTGTTCGATCCCGACTAGAAAATAAAATAAAATGTCTGGAAAGCATCATCGTAAGATAAAGGAATGATAACCTTATTGTATGGCTTTCCATGACAACAGCACAACAACATACATAACACCATTCACCATCTCATTAAAACTTCCACAACCGAATAATTTTTACTATTATATATTATATACTATTATGGTACAGCAGACATACAGCTAATATCAAAACTGAAATTAGTTGCATGTGATTCATTCGACCTAACTCAAAGTAACTGGAGCATATGATCTAATTTAAAGGACAGCTAACCATCTCCATGTTAAATCATCGGGCCATGAAAATTGTTTTGAAAGCGAAAAATTTTATTTATAAATTTTACTTTTAAATTCACATTAACATCCCAATTTTCAAAGAAACAGCAATTTAAATAATAAAGCTTTTTTAAACCGATTTTCTTAAAAACAAATTAAAATGAAGCAAGAAAAAATTGTTAAAGTAGTTATTAGGCTGAAACTAGTTAGATGTGCATTTTGAAGTTTTGTAATTTTGTTTACTGATTCATATGCCCCATCGATCAATCATTCACGAACTTATTCACTCAATCACTCACTCATCCTTTTGAATATTTGTGCTTCCCTCATTAGTCAATTCTTCAAACATTCATTCATTCACTCATTCATTACATCTGTTCGTTTATTCTTCTTCGTGTTCTCATCAAGGCCTATCATTCATCACCGTCTCGAACCGCCCCCGCAGCACAACCATCTTCATCC